GACCCAGCCACCAACTCCCTGTGCTAGTGGGCCCTGTCCCTTTCTGGGCCTCAGTTTCCTTATCTATAAAATGAGGATGCTCATTCCTTCTCCATACACTTTGCCAGCTTGCAGTTAGGTGGTGATCAGGAAAGTGGAAATTAGGAAGCTGAATTGTTATCAGTATCATGAAGTTCTCAGGGCAGGACGGAACACCCAGAAGGGACAGGCCCTTCCAGACACTGAGCTATTCAGAACCTTCCCTTTCTCCTCCCAGGGTTTCTCCACTCCGGGATTCAGAAATCAGTACACATGTATGCACACAGACGATCCATTTACATGGATACAACAGATAGATCTGCATATATGTCAAAAGGGCTCACCTATCCATGTTGTTGTTGTGACCCATGGAGTCAGAGCCCACTCAGAGCTGGCCCTCAGAGGGTTTTCAGAGGATGTAAATTGCATGGGAGGATATTGCCCATCTTTCCCCTGTGGAGCAGCTTGTAAATTCGAATCATGTACTTTTTGGGTTGGCAGCACAACTCCTTACTACTAGGCCACCAGAGCTTCCCCTTATGTATATTTAAAACTCAAAACTCATGCTCACTACACTACCATTGAGTCATTCCTGACTCATAGCGACCCTCCAGTGGGTTTCCGAAGGTGTAAATTATAACAGGAAGAGATTGCAGCTTCTTCTCCCTTGGAGCCACTGGTCGATTTGAACTGCCAGAGATGTGCAGGCATTTTGTTTAGCAATCCAACATGTTACAGCTTAAGCTTAAGTCACCAGAACTCTTTATGTATTTGTTGTTGTTATGTACCTTTGAGTCAAAGCCAACTCATAGCTGACACTTAAGTGGGTTTTCAGAGGCTGTAATTTGAAGGAGGAGATTGCTCATCTTTCTCCTTCAGAGCAGTTGGTGGATTTGAACCATGCGCCTTTCAGTGAGCAGCACAACTGCTTACCATGTATACATATAATAAAAATGCAAATACACATATTTAGGCTTTCCTATATACACAAACTGAGACAGTATGTTCATACATACATACACAGCCAATCTACAGACTTGAGGGACACACCTATATATACACACAAAGATGCACACATGCGCATACACTCCACTCCATCTCCACTGATGCGAGGAAGTCTTACCTCCCCCAGGGGCAGTGTGGGAATTGCTGTTTCTCTGGCTGCATTTCGATAGGTGCCCGGAAGCGCTCAGGCCTGGAAGTGGCTGCGTAAATCAATATTTGCTGCTGTTAATTATTAAAACCAAAGCTACACCGTGTCTGGAACGTATATCTCCGGAGTTCCCGCCGACTCCCTGGGCCCAGCCTGACTCAGGGCCAGGTCTGATGAGGGAGGGAGGGAGGCACAGAGCCTTCTTCCTTCCAGGAGCCCTTGGCCCTGGGGACCGAGGATGGGGGTAGCTGCTGGTAGCTCTTTCAGGAAGCTATAGAGAGGTTCTGCACTCAGTTGGTGGGCAGCCCTGCCTCTGCAGAGTTTAAAGTAGAGGTGTTGACTTGACCCCAGTTCAGGAAGCATCTGTCTGGGGGAGGGGATGGTGAAGTCTGTGCTGGATAGTGACTTTTCCCAGCTAAGGACATAGTTCAGGGTCAGCTAAGGGTCCACAGACATCTCATTTTACAGATGGGGAAACTGAGGCCCAGTGGGAGGCAGGACCTCACTCATGGCAAGTCAGCAAACTTAGCAAAGCCAGAGCTGGGACCTGATGTCCTGACTCAACTTGAATCTTTTTCTCCATCCCATGAGCAGGGAACAAACCAGCTGCTGACAGTTCTAGACCTTTGCTTGAATTATGGTATCTGCTTTTTCCTAGCTGTGGATGCCAGGTATTTCACCTCTTAGAATCAGTTTTCACATCTGTCAGAAGGGCATGATAGTGGTACCTCCTGGATTGGGGGGGGGTGGTTACTGAGATGAGATAAGCTAAGGGTTAAGTAGGTGTTTTGAGTCTCCGTGGACATTCCTTCTTCTGGCCCCTTCACGCCTATCCTAAGTATCCCAGCCCTTGAGACTCTAAGGAGGCGTGCCCAGAATTCGGGAGAATAAACTTTTGAGGGTGGCCCACTGGGTAGAAGCTGAGTGCCCTAAGGTATATCCAGCGAGTCGAAAGCATCCAGCGTCCAGCAATAGCGCGCAGGCGCAGTGTCCGGAGACCGCTGGCGGGCCTCGCCGATGGGTGAGGTTACCCGTGTCCCCGCCCCCGGCCCGCCGTAACCCCGCCCCATCACTCGCACCGCCCGTACCTGGCGCCCCGCCCCCTCCGGGCCCGGCCACCCGGCGAGCCCCAGTGCAGGCAGCACCGC